GCGGAAATAAAATTCCTCCGGCAGGTGGTATTTTTTTTGTTGCAGGAATTCGCTCTGCAATCCGCAATAATTTGCTTTACAAAGGATTTTTAACTGTTTTTCGTGGAATATTTGTATTTTTTCGGGTTTGTATGCGATCTAGGCGACTTAATAATTTCAGCTTGGCGTTTTCGCATCAGAATGTAAGTATTTAATTCCTTTATCATTTTCCTAAATAACTTTTATGATTATTGTACAAATTGACCCCAAAAATAAATTGCATTTTTATGTTTGAAGGACTAATTTTTGCTTGTCTTAGGGATTTTGTACCTGAATCTGACATTGTAGAAGGACCATTCTGGTGTCAGATTGTCAGTAATTAATTCCTTTATCATTTTCCTAAAAAACTTTTATGATTATGGTACAAATTGACCCCCAAAATTGCATTCTTATGTTCGAAGGACTAATTTTTGCATGTTTTAGGTATTTTGCACCTAAGTCTGACATTGTAGAAGGACCATTTTTACATCAGATTGTAAGTATTTAATTCCTTTATCATTTTCCTAAATAACTTTTGTGATTATCTTAGAAATTAACCCTTTAAATTGCATTTTTATGTTCGAGATACTAATTTTTGCTTGTTTTAGAGATTTTGCACCTGAGTCTGACATCGTAGAAGAACCAGTTTTGCATCAGATTGCAAGTATTTAATTTTTTTTTCATTTTCCAAAATAACTTCTGTGATTATCTTAGAAATTAACCCTTAAAATTGCATTTTTATGTTCGAGATACTAATTTTTGCTGATTTTAGGTTTTTTGCACCTGAGTCTGACATTGTTGAAGGACCATTTTTGCATCAGATTGTAAGTATTTAATTCCTTTATCATTTTCCTAAATAACTTTTGTGATTATCTTACAAAAAAACCCTTAAAATTGCATTTTTATGTTCGAGATACTAATTTTTGCTGGTTTTAGGGGTTTTGCACCTGAGTCTGACATCGTAGAAAAACCATTCTTGCATCAGATTGTATGTATTTAATTTCTTTATCATTTTCATACATAACTTTAGTGATTATCTTAGAAATTAACCCTAAAAATTGCATTTTTATGTTCGAGATACTAATTGTTGCTTGTTGATCCAGACGTATTTTGCGCGACTTTTATCGTTTACATTATGTTCGG